GTGCTGATGTCAACAACTCTCAATATGATGGTAAAACTGCTTTGTTTTATGCTGCCCAACAAAGTAACAACGAGAGTGTGGTTCGTGCATTGATTGATGCTGATGCTGATGTCAACAAAACTGATGATGAAGGCAAGACTGCTTTGTTTGATGCTGTCCAACAAAGTAACAACGAGAGTGTGTCAACAAAACTGATGATGAAGGCAAGACTGCTTTGTTTCATGTTGTCCAAGTAAGTAACAACGAGAGTGTGGTTCGTGCACTGATTGATGATGGTGGTGCATTCGTCAATGTGCGTGATGTTTATGGGAGAAAACCATTGTTTTACGCTCTCGACTGTCCAAAGTCAGCTCGTATTCTTGTTGAAAAGGGACAAAAACAATTCTTTCATTTGAAGGATAACTGTAATTGCAACATTTCGGACTTTTTCGTTGAAAGACATTTATTCAATGGTGATATTAAAGACTTTCTTTCTGAAAACATTCCCTCTGGCTTTCTGAAATTGCTTGATGAACATGGAGTGCAGAAAAAAACATTTGCTGAAGCAATTTTAAACATGGTTTTCTGTAAGTTACCTTTGATGTTCGTAGAACCGTCATTGTTAAAGCAGAAGAGAGATCTGATTCCGTTTAGATGTTGTGGTCAAATCCATATTACTAAAGCCCTGAAGCAAGCTAGTCAGATAATCGATAACGAAAAGAAACTGGAAATATTGATCGGGCTTTTAAATGAAAGATGTACGAATGGAGAAGGGATATCAGAAGCTTTACAATTATTGGTTGAGTTAGGTGCCGATCCTAATAGTGTTGATTCATATGGTAATACAGCCCTTCACTATGCGACTTGTTTACCGTTGATGGGTGTGCCTCAAGAGATCGTGATGGAGATTTGTCTTAAGCTGGAGAACTTTGGTGTACAATTAAACTTGAGAAATCATGAGAATCAAACACCCCTTCTGTTTTGTTTGTCTCAAAACAAACTTGACAGATTAAGAGATAATGAAATTACATTAGCGATTCAAGCAGTGGTCAAAGTTTGTAAAGTTTTGTTAAAACAAGGGTCCAGCATCGAAGAAAGGTCTCGAAGTGGAAAAACTGTTTTTCATTTAATACTAGAGCTTTTCCAGCAGGGACTTCTCTTAATGGATAAGACAGTAAAACAAGATGTCTTGCATGAAGCAATAAAGCTTTTGCAATTATTTTTACCCGCAAAAGTAGCAAAAACACAGATTATTAACATACGTGATGTTGATCTCAACTCACCACTTCACCTTTGGGCATCACTAGAATTACCATCACCTCAAGACTATACCAGTAATGTTACTAAAGATCTCACATTTGAGGAATTCTTACAAACATTATTAAACTACCTTGTAAGATGTGGAGTAAAACTGAATGTCAGAAATGGTGCCGATCAAACCCCGTTACATTTGTGCAAGACCTGGATAGCTGTGAAGCTGTTGCTTGATGCTGGAGCGAAGGCTAACGATGCCGATTCATCAGAAGCATCACCTCTTGTTGCTGCTGCGCGAGTTATGAAAAAGTGGTCACTTGTCGGTTATCAGGGCGGTCTCTACCCAGATCCTTTGGAGTTAGAAGAACCAAAATCCTTTTGGGAAACTGCCATTGACAAGGGACTTGATGCGTGGACAGCTGACAAAAAGGGTGAGTCAGTTTTGAGTATTCTCATTGAACTCGATAAGTTTGTTTTTGCCAAAGCTTTGGTTGACGTGGCTTGTAAGCGGAACTACACTCAGTCGGAAACATTTGCTGTTGGTCTTTTGAATACCATCTGTAAAGACAAATCAGCACGAACACATTGGAAAAGCATTCTTGTCCAAGATATATTGCAGTCGAGAGGAGGCCAAACCACTTTGTCTGAACCACTTCGTCGTTGCTGTATAAACATAATAAAAGCTGATGATGATGATAATGGTGATGATGATGACGATGATGATAACGATTGGCAGCCTACATCAACAAAAAGAAGAATGGACACATCAATCTCTTCAATACAAGCAGAGATTGAACACTCGTCTGTCCATTGTGAAATCTTGAAGATTCTTCGTTTGTATGAAGCTGATGTCGATTCTTGCTTGGACCTGGCAAACTCTTCTGATGCTCTTAAAAAACTCCTCACCGAACGCTTAGATATTAACACAGTGTCTGTACGCATTCCATGGACTTCTACGTCAAAGAAATATGAAGTCAAATTGGCCAAAGTTGCTAGGCGACAAGAGTGTGATGTGTTCCTTGAGGAATTTTGGTGTCACAAAGAACACGTAGGAAGTGGCTCATATGGCGATGTCTTTGTTGGAATCAACAAGAAGGATGGTAGAGAAGTGGCCTTAAAGCGCATCGTGAAATTACGTATGCAGCGACCAGAAGACAAACGAGAGATTACAAATCTCACAGCGCTTGCAGACTGCGAACAAATTGTTCGTTATTTGTATTTCTTTGAAGAGGAAAAGTTCTCATACATTGTTTTAGAATTGATGGAAGGAAATCTTGACGAGTACCTTACTGATGGTTCCACATTTGACGCCACAAAAAGTATTCAACTTTGTCAAGATGTAGTCAAGGGGTTGGAGTTTCTGCATGAGCAGAATATTATTCATCGCGACCTGAAGCCAGGGAACATTCTCTACAAAACACATCCTCATCTTCGTTTGAAAATTGCAGATTTTGGTCTCAGCCGTCGCATTGATAGTAGCGCAACCACAGTGTATGGTACTAATGCAGGAACGAGGTGTTGGATGGCTCCAGAATTGTTGATGGGTACTCCCAATCATTCCAAGGCAACTGACATGTTTTCATGTGGACTTGTTCTTCATTACATTCTGTCAGTAAAAAAACACCCATATTCTATGAACAATAGTCAAATGCCTCATCAAATAGAAACCAACATAGCAGATGGGAGAATAGAAGGATGGGATGACTCTCTTTCTCCAGAAGCTACTCACCTAGTCAAAAACATGCTTGGTAGTGATGAAAACGATCGGCCAACGGCAGGGGAAGCTTTGGATCATCCAATGTTCTGGTCAAATAAGAAAAAAGTTGATGTTCTTTTTGCTGTTGGAAACCAGCCAGTGTTTGGTTACCCACGTGCGGGAAGATCAACTTGTCTATCTGCTGTGGAGACCGACTTGGAGAAGAGCTTTAGTACCATAGTTGTGCATGGAGTGTGGAATGACCCCAGGTATAAGGACATGCCTCATATCTTTGCTGAAATGACGAAAACAAAGGGAAAGGGGAAAGAAAAGAAAAAAAATGGAGAAGTGGAGGTCTTACGATCCTCACTCTGTAGTAGAGTTAGTGCGGTTTATACGAAATGCTTACGCGCATGTCTCTGAAAGTACAAGACCAACAGCAGTCAAGAAGATGTTACTGGTAGACTTTGTGTGTCTGGAGTATTTCCCTCATCTTGTGATGGAAGTGTACAAGGTTGTGACTGATCATGAATGGGATCAAACAGTAGAAGAAATCAAGTACGAGATGAACAAGTAACAGGTAAGATGTCTTAATTAATTAATGAAGGTTTTTCCTTATCAGCTACTCTCTTAATTTGGGTTGGCAAATAATACATTTCGTCTTTTCCCAAAAATTTCTATAGTTCGATTACCACTCTCAGATTTGAAACATACGGCGGGAATTTGATTTTGAAGGTATCGTCATCGTAATCGATTGTCAATGATAAAAAAATGTCCGAAAATGCACCCACCTTAATTCCACCTCCAAGACTCTCGTTTCGCCACTGGCAACCGATATTCTTGTACTGCCAGTGACCAAGGCTCAGACGTACCACTCTTTTCGTTACTACAAGATTGTTGAAAGAACGTCACAGCATTTCGCGGGATAAGACAAAAAACAGCAGGTCTAATAAATGTTGTCATTAATTCATGTCTAAACTAGCGTCATTTAGTCAATACTAAGAAAGTATAAAACACCGCTGGTGTTGGGGAGGGGAGGGGACCAATTCGCTGATCTGGAACCCTAGTAGGTGCGACGAGCATCTCCACTTTTGATGGGAGTCCTGTCTCCCGTGTATAACGTTAAGGATTTTATTTCCTTTTATTAATATTCAACTTAAAAGTTATACCTAAAACTCACACCGAATATAATATCAAACAAAACCCAGCACAGCATGAAAAACCATTCTACTAGAAGTAATCGTAGTTGGTTTGTTTTCTTCTCACTAGCTGATGACTGTCATGTACTGTGTGTAAAGGTACAAACGTCACGGAAACACAAGAGACACAAGATTGTTATCAACCATGTATAAACTCTGGTATTAAAGAACCATTGATAATGGATTTAGTAGGGGAGGGAGGGATATCAATCAATAGGACGAAGAAGACACAGCACTGTACAACATACACTGGTATTAAAGGACCATATTGATATTTGATTTAGTAGGTGAAGGGAGGGGTATATTAGTTTATCTTAGTTTATCATTTACTTCTTAAGATAGGACGAAGAAAAAAAAAAACGAAAAAAAACAAAAAAAACAAAAACAAAACAACAAAGACAACAAAGACAAAACGAAGAAAAAAGCCCATTCAATTTCAGTATTTCAGCTATTCAGAGTGAAACATGGTATTTTTCTCGTAATAGGAAGTCACTTCTATAGACAAGCTTACATCATCCAGATAATTCTATCAATTATCTCATCAATCGAACTTCTTCAGACGAGATTGACTGAAAGTTAATTTAGACACATTGAATGGAGTCATTATGTCTCAGATTAGCTAGAGTGTTATCAGAACATGTTTTATAATCATTGTACATACAGCTACAGTTTGTGATTCGATTTTTATTGTATAGTTTTCTGATAGGCCCTTTGCAGTTAAC